CACTACCTCTACCTGGCCTCCTTCACCTGGATGCTGCTGGAGGGGCTGTTCCTCTTCCTCACAGCGCGGAACCTGACTGTGCTCAGTTCCTCCAGCAGAAACAGGCTCATGAGGAGGCTCATGTTCCCTGTGGGCTACGGGGTCCCGGCCGCCATCGTGGCCGTGTCTGCAGTAGTCAGACCTCACCTGTATGGCACCCCTGCTCGGTAAATGCGGACTCCACTTGTCCTTCTCCTCTCGAGCATGTCCACGGCCTTCACTTGAGCCAAAGTAGCCTTTTGAGTATTTCAGAGCTTAAGCAGTAGAGTGTACTGTGACATATCACACATACAGGGAGTCTGGCTTGCTGTCCTTCTGGTTGTGCATGTGTGGAGTGACTCTGGTCGTGGAGTCCTACATGAACACAGCAAAGTGATGTTGTTCTCTCTCTTGCTCAGCTGCTGGCTCCGTCCAGAGCAGGGGTTTATGTGGGGCTTCCTTGGACCCGTCTGTGCAATCTCTTCCGTGAGTAATGTCATCAGAGTTCCTTCCTGTCCATCTGAGGGTTACTAGAAGAGCAGGATATTAAGGATGGTGACAGAACAGGAATATACCTGGATTGTTATGGGTTGCATTGAGTTTTCCAAGATGTCTACATCTACAAATTCTAACGCTATTGTCAAATACTAAAACCCACTCCGGTGTAGAATTGATGCTGCAAGGGTTAGAATGGAGAGATAACAGATTTAAATTTTTATTCAGTAAAACTTTGCTGTGGGGGATGGGGGTGTAGCTCAAGGGCAGAGAGCTTGCCTGGCATGCACTAGGGTCTGGGTTCCCTCCCCAGGACTGCAAAAGAGAAATGAAAATATTAATAAACCTCCTGCACTTTCTTTTGGGGGGTTCGTTTTAGTTATACGAGAAGGTAAAATCCATTCTGATACAATTACACAAGCATGGAATATACCTTATCTAGTTAGGAACCCATTCTCGTGAATGTACATGATGGTTGGATTCACGGTGATATTGTCATATATGTACACAGGAAAATTATATCAGATTCATGCTGCTGTCTTTCCTTTGCTTTTTCGTTTCTTGAAGGTCAATATGGTTTTCTTCCTGATGACCCTCTGTATTGTGAAGAGCAAGCTGTCCTCCATCAACAGAGATGTGTCCACCCTCCAGAACACGAGGTGAGATGGACCAGAGGTCATAGATGACAGTGATGCCCAAGAGCAGAGCCATGTGCCTGAACAGCCCCTCATGTCCTTCCTCTGGAGCTTCTGAGTGGCCCAAAAAAAGAAATGCAGCTCCGCTTCTATGGCTGCCATCTCAGACTCAGGGCTCTGCTGCTTACTCCAGTTAATCCTCCAGGGACAAGGTTGTTCCTTCACTCAGCATCTTGTGGAAAATTCATGCTCTTTCTTCTGGGTTCCTCTGATTAACCTTTCAAATTTTTGCATATCATCATTTTGTTGTATTAGACACTTGAACAGAGCATACGATTAATGAAAACAGAAATTTTGCCCTGTATTTGTTTCTGAGATACGATCTCACTATGTTTACCAGGCTGGCCTCCAATTCCTGGGCTCAACTAATCCTTTTGCCACAGCCTCCTGAGTAGCTGGGGCAACAGGTGTGCACCCCTGCCCCCAGCTTCTCTTTGTGATTTTTTATGTCCAAGCCCTAGCACGGGGCATCCTCAGTAATGCTGGATTAATGAAATTAGGGATCTTCATGGAACATCGTGAAACTCTTTGAAGTAAGCTTATGAATTATCACTCTCCTGGGTCCAAGTCAAAAAGCTATCCTGGACCCAAAATGACATTTCTACTGTCGGGTATCATTGAGAGTAAACATCAGAGTTCAGTCAAATAAATCACTTACAGGGAATAGTAGGTGCATCCATGGGTGGAGAGGTTAATAGCCTGATTTTGTTGTGGGTGCATTATAAGCCTCCATTCTCCCCCAACCTAGGGTGCTGACATTTAAAGCAATGGCTCATCTCTTCATCTTGGGCTGCACCTGGTGTCTGGGTGTCCTGCAGGTGGGCTCCCTGGCCCCCGTCATGGCCTACCTCTTCACCATCGTCAACAGCCTGCAGGGCGTCTTCATCTTCCTGGTGTACTGCCTCCTCAGCCAACAGGTACCCCTGCCCAGCTCCCACCCATGCCTCCCACCCGCACCCCTCTTTGTGAGCTGACCCAAAGCGTGGGTTGCCTCTGCAGGTCCAGGAGCAGTACAGGACATGGCTCAAGAGGATCAGGAAATGGACAACTGAATCTGAGTCCTACACTCTGTCTAGCAAGGCTGTGTCCGACACCTCCAGACCCAGCACGGTAGGGTCACTCCCTGCTCCCAGAGCACACGTTCCCTGGTATTGGCAGGATTTTTCTCCTCCTGTCCACAGACCATACTTCCCCTGCCTCCTGGACTCCACCATCATGCCTGCCTGTCCACTGACCTTACATGATTCTCTCTCCCTCCCTCCCACCCACCTCCTTCCCTCTTATTATCATTTTGTCCCCACCCTTATCTGAGTCTCCTAAAGACCCTGGTGATGACCTTAACCTCACCTGGACAATCCAGGATGATTTTCTCATCTCAAGTTGCTTAACATGCATGATCCCAGTGATTAGTGAAATGCAAACATTGATCTCATAGAAACAAAGAGCAGAACAGTGGTTCCCAGAGGCTGGGGAGGAGGGGGTGGGAAAAGCTTGATCAGGGGGTACTAAGTTACAGTCAGGAGAAAGAAGCTCTGTGGTGTGGTGCACAGTAGGGCCACTAGACCACAAAGTGCACTGTACCTTTCCAACAGCTCTGAGGGGCTGGGGGCCACTCAGTGGGAGGCCCTTGCCTGGCATTTGCAAGGCCCTGGCTCCATCCCAGCAACAAGTCTCTTTAAAAGACAAAGAAAGGATTTTGAGAGTTTTTACCACAAATAACAAATGCATGTTGGAGGAGATAGTTATGTTTAACCTGATGTAAACACTCACACTGTAGACAGGCAGGGAAACATCCCATTATACCATTAATATGTGCCATCTAAATAGATTTAATGTAAAATTGGATTTTTTTAATCTTTAACATAAGCCTACTTGAGAAGTTCCTTATCCAGGCAGAGTAACACTCACAGGCTATGGGATTAGGGTGTGGACGTCTGTGGGTCATTATTTTGTCTATCACACCAATTACATAAGTTGGATTTCTCTCTCAGGGAGCCGTCAAAATCTGCCTCATGTTGTAGATAATTTAATAGATTCACCACCCCCTCCCTCCACCACAGCCCTAGGAATGCTGTACACATTGAGGAAAAGAAATGCTAACTTTTTGTCTAGAAAATAGGAAGCCATCAGATGGGGAAATTCAGGTGTTTCTACCATCTTGGGCACTGGACTGCTGTGTTGGATCCTGATGACATTTTATCTTCCAGTGTCTGCTTAAACTGGGCATCTCCAGGATTTCAGTTGATGGACTCTCTTCCTCTCATTTTGGAATCCCTCCCTTGGATCATTTCATAAAAACAAAACATTTGTCTTGTAATCAGTTCTGAATAATTTTCTGAAGCAGAGCATTTATAACGCTTGAGTGAGGTTGCCCATCTAAAACACTAGAAGTATGCCGAGCTTCCACAGATGCAGGAATAAAAAACTCCCTGGGGACGGGGAAGATATGGAAAGAGAATTCAACACTCCTTCCTTTAATAGTAGGTGATGGGCAATAGATAACAATGGCAGCCTTTCCTTAATTTTCTTCCTGCTCTCAGACAGAAGCCAACACAAATCCTGAAGTGGGGAGATCAGATCCACCTTTTTTTTTTTTGGCAGAGAGGTACCAGGGATTGAACTCAGGGGCACTCCACCACTGACCCACATCCCACCCCCACACTGTATTTTATTTAGAGACAGGGTCTCACTGAGTTGCTTAGCGCCTCACTGTTACTGAGAATGGCTTTGAGCTCATGATCCTCCTGCCTCGGCCTCTCAAGCTGCTGGGATTACAGGCATGGACCACTATACCTGGTTCAGATCCATCTTTTGAAAGATACATTTTTGTGCGTTTTTGCAGCACATTTACCTGTTCTTGTCTTCTGTAACTTAAGGGTTAGGAAATATAGGAAGATGAGACTTCTGAGAAAGACCAAAATCAACAAAATTTAATCCAATGTAGCCAGTTGGTCAAGCCCTAAGAAATCCATCAGGCAAGACAATTTTGTGATTGAAATCTTCCTTTTAAATGTGTGTGTGTGTGTGTGTGTGTGAGAGAGAGAGAGAGAGAGAGAGAGAGAGACTAAACCCCATAAACATATATGATTATTATTTGCTGACTAAACATTTCAAAAACTAGGGAGCAGGATGGTGGCTAAGATCTGCCAGTAGTCATACCCCAGGCACAACAGGTTTAACAGATATAATTTTAAAATTCCCTGTGTATATTTGAGGTGTGCCATGTGAAAATAGGATACATACAGAAAATAAAATGGTTACTGTAATAAGGCAAATTAACTTATCCATCATCTCATATTCCTTTTTTTTAACCAAGCAACTAAAATCTATTTATATAACAAATTTCTTCTTTCCTTTTTTAAACGGAACTTGTAAGTTACTTTTCTACAAACTTATAAGTCATTTTTAAATAATTATCATTCCAGACTGATTAGAAACACCGTCTGAGCTACAGCCTCCTTCCCTATGGAAAATCTGAACTGCCACTGGGTCACTTTTGAGCCATAAGGACAGGACAAAGACTCTGCTGTGTGTTTCAAGAAATCCATGGTGTTGGCCATCTGAAAGGATTCATGGAGGACATGATTGACATTCAATTCCTGCAGAACCTGAAATCTGTCCATGCCCGACATGGTGCTGAGCAAACTCAACATCCCGATGCCATCTGCAGCCCAATTCCTCAGTTTCTCTGTTAAACGTTCTTCTACTGCCCCCCTTCCTATGAGGCCTCTTCCATGCAAAAATTCTAGAAGCAAGAAAACCAGCCTCCCAGGATGCTCACATCCAAAACATTTAAAAGGACTTGAATGTGCTTTAAACTTTTTAACAAAAAAGAAGAAGAAGAAAAGAAAACATAAAAGGTTTGTATGGAAATATTGTGGTGTCTGCAAGGAACATGGCATGCCCTATGTGGGATTTGGAATTTTCAGGATGTGGAAGGCTCCCAAGAATGCCGTATTCAACTTAAATCTTTCATAACAGTGAAGTCGTGGCCAAATTGCCAAGAAAATAGATCCCCAATAATGTCATGACAGATGTGTTAGTGAAATCAGGAGGAGGAGATAACATTGAGCAGACAGGGAGATGGGCCTGGGTCACTTCCTGGGCAGTGAGTACAAACAGCACCTGCAGATATTTGCTAAGAAACTTACAAAAAGGCTATGTTTAAGCCAGGACCTATGTGACTCTGGTCCGTGCCTCTCCACAGAAGAAAAAATGCTTGATGGACATTTTGACTGGACTGAAGGTTGCATGGACACTGTGTGCCCTGCCCAGGAGTGAGCAGGGGCTGACTTCCTTAAACTTCTAGATCTATATAAACCCCTAGACAATCGCCACACTTCAGTGTCCCTCTCTGGGACCCCTCCCTCTTGGGGAGCTCTGCTTTATATTAGTCTGATAAATCCTGTTACTTTGCTCTCACTCTTGTGTCCATGGAAGTTTATTCTTTAAATTTATGATAGAAAGAACCCAACCCCACGCTCTGTGCTACATTAGTAATAATCTTGTTTTCATTCCAAAAATAATTTAAATCAGAATTTTTGCCTTAAATAAAATCCATTAAATATGTTCATCCTCCCAATTTTGTAAATAAAATGCAGATACATATTTTTCCAAATGCAAAATGTTTATCTCTGGGTCATGAGTTATTGAATGAATTTTTGCTTTTGACATTATTTAAGCCTTTAGGCAATGGGATAGATCACTTTTGCAATAGGAAAAAATAGCTAAAGGGTCTCAAGGATCATCATGCCTCTGTTCACCACAACATCACAAAGCACTGGGTAAGAAAGAGGTTAGGAAATACACAGGCAGGTTAGCATAAATACAATGATAGAGTTGTTTCTTTGGAATTCTTTAATTATACTGTTACAATAATCAGTGAAAAGGACATCAAACATGGAAATCTTACATCTCCCACCAAGCCCAAGTCTGTTTACTCCCCTGCTTGAAAAGGGCCCAATGAATCAAGGGCAGTTGTTGGGGTGAGGGAAAATCATTTACTTGGTAAGTCAACAAAACTGAGCTGATGGTGGACTAGCAACCTGAAAGACTGCCTTAACTCAGCAGACACTTGAGCTCCTTTCAATCTTCAGGAAAGGGGGAAAGAAGGGGAGTTAGGATAGGAAATGACAGGTGACCAGACTTCTAGACATCTCTCCAATAGCCCCATGGCTGGCCACCTATTGATCATGGAGCTCCTGTGAATCTTGAAAATGTCTTAGTTATGCTTATCTTGGTATCATCAGCCTTGAAGGGGGAAGAGAGAGATTAGGGAGGTTTCAGATAAATCAGATTTGTGCTGCTAGTTTGAGGAAAACATTCCTTAAAAGATGAACACACCTACATGCAGAGTGGAGCAGAAAAAGTCTCGTCAGTGGTCGGGGCAGCAAAGGGGGTGGACATAATATGGAGGCAGAGACGCTGAGGCAGTTCACAGCTGCACCGGCCCAGGAGAAGCGCTGTTGACAGAAGAGCTCAAGCCCCTAAAAGGCAGCAGCAGCCACTGTTACTACGCCACATGGATCAACCTCACTGACATGGTATTGAGGGGTGCCACGTGAATATAGGATACATACAGTGGAAAAAACAACTGAAGAGGGCTCTGTATGGTTCAATTTCCATGAACAGGAAGTGAGAACTTATGGTGGTAGAAGTCAGAGCAGTGGTGACCTCTAGGGACAGGGCTTACAGACTGGGGTGGTGTCCAAGGGAAACTTCTGCAGAGATGAAGTATTTACTTTTTGATAGGGTAGTAGTCAGTGTAGACACACACAAAACTCATCAAGGTTCACACTAAGACTTATGAACTTTGGTGTAAATCATCCCTCAAATAACAGTATTATAAAACATAAAAAAACACAGTGAGAAGACACACAAATGGACACCATGCTGAGTCAGACCACCATGGAGAAAATCTCTCCCCGTCCCTTACCCAGTGGCCTCGAGTACTCCCCTCAACTTGCTGAGCCCCAGCTTCCACGTTTGATGGGGGTGAACACAGGACCCACCTCAAGGCATCACTGAGGAGACCAAGAGCTGCAGCACCTCCGGCAGAGGCTGCAGTCTATTAACAGCAAGCTCTAAGGGTGAGTGGCTGTCGCAGGGTGGAGGCCTGAATGGCCACCCTTAAGGGAAAATGGTCAGTTTATAAAAGTAATGGCTCACTGGAAATGCACAAAATGTGAAAAGCTTTCTTTAATTCCATTGCTTCAAAATATACACATATACTTAAAAACTGATGGAATTATTCAGTTCTCCATCACCATCGTGGGGAGTATACCATACCTCTCTCAGGAAATGACTGATCAGAAATCAATATTTATAAGTGTGTGTTTACACAAATAATATGCTTGATCCAGTGGGCTACTGTAGAACTTAATACATTGATTTCAACCACCCAAGAAGTGTTTATATAAACGGACACGATGTTTGTGTCAGTTAGGGATTTGTACTCTAGTTAAATAAATAAAAGCACCCCATTCTCTCCTATTCTTTCTTCATAAACAATGTCTGATGTTAGTAAGAAATACATTCTTTTCATGTAACAGGAAATAAACAGGCCAGGGCTGGTTTCATCTGCTGGATGTGAAAACATGAGACACATGCTAACAAGTATTCTGAGAACAACCCAAATGTCTACACTTCCACACACCCTCAGCTAACAGATGAAGGGCCACTGTAGGAGTGAGACTATGACAAAGGCAAGCCACCTTTCTTGATGTTCTCTCTGCCACCGTGGGTCCTTTTGTGCATGGCAAGTGAGGAGCTGTGCCTGAAGGCTTTCTCACACTGATTGCATTGGTAGGGTCTCCCCAAGGTGTGGGTCCTCACATGCATAATGAGGTGTGAAGACTGGCCGAAGGCTCGCCCACGCTCCTGGCACACATAGGGCTTCTTGCCACTGTGAGTCCTCACGTGTTTCCTGAGGGACGAGGGCTCACTAAAGGCTCGTCCACACTCCTGGCACTGGTAGGGCTTCTCTCCAGTGTAAGTCCGCATGTGACTCTTGAGGGTGGACAGACGACCCAAGACCTGACCACAGGTCGCACACTCATACAGCTTCCCCACCATGTGGATTCTCTTGTGCACATTCAGGTGTGTGCTGGTCCTGAAGGGCTTCCCACACTGGGTGCACTCATAGGGTTTCTCTCTGGTGTGGGTCCGCAGGTGTGTCTTCAACGACGAGTGTTCCCTGAAGGCTTTCCCACACTGGCTGCACGCGAAGGGCTTCTCTCCAGTGTGAGTTCTCACGTGGCTCTGGAGAGATGAGGGCTGGTTGAAGGCTTTCCCACAGTCCTTGCATGCATAGGGCTTCTCTCCTGAGTGGTTTCTCTGGTGCAGAATCAGGTTGAAGTTCCTGGTGAAGGTTTTCCCACACTGACTGCATTCAAAGGGCTTCTCTCCAGTGTGAGTTCTCAGGTGTCTCCACAGATTCGAGGAATACTTGAAGGCCTGTCCACATTCTTGGCACTGGAAGAATTTCTCTGCGGTATGAGTCTTCTCATGCCTGAGAAGGTCAGAGCTGTAGTGGAAGGACTTTTCACACTGGTCACATGCATAAGTCTTATCCATGATGTGGATTTTTTCAGGTGTGATTAGGTGAGTGTTCTGGAAGAAGGACTTCCTGCTCTCTTGACATTCATGGGGGGGATCTCTCCAGAAGGAATTGTGTGGTACTGAAAAAGTGGTCTATAATATTAAAGGGTTTCCCTGGCTCATTATATTCATAGAGATCTTCTCCAGGCTGTGGTTGCTCCTGTAGGTTAAGGAAAATGTGAAGACAAAGCTTTATCACACTCAGAGATCGTGTTCCCCATGTAAGCTGAATTCAAGAGAAAGTCAGTCCTACATCTACTGAGAGTTCCCTCGAGAAGCACAGGGTGGACACTCTCCACCAGAGCTCTTTTCATTACTTTCCTGGGAATTCTTAGATCAGAGGATTTTTGAATTGTTTAAGCAAAATTAAGTTTTGAACACCCAATACCTGCATGCAATCTGTGAAAATGATTACTGAAGAACACTCTGTGAAGATACAAGTGTTTCTTTCCAGTGCTGGGGATGGAACCCAGGGTCTCTCCAATGCTAAGTCCATGTGCTATCCTTTTCACCCTGGCACCAAGACACAAGTCTTAATCTACATTTAAAGTTTTCTCCAACTTATGACATTCACTGACTTAAGAAAAAAATGATTCCTCCTGGGAAAGCAACCTTTGCCACCAATCTCTCTCTCAGCTCTTAGGCAGCTTTTCTACCCTATGGCAACCACAGACTTGTCCTACTATAGAGATCCAAGAGTAACCCCTTGCGAATCTTATCTGTTTTGTGTCAATGGAAAAAATCCGCACAGAAATATCTTGGCTAGGAATTGATTCTTAGGGTTGAAGTGGAGGTTCTGAAATGAATTAGGGAGTAAAAGAATTAAAAGTTTGATAAAGAAACTTGGGATCGAGATGACCAAAAAGCATAACTATGCTAGTGTGGATTTTTTTAATACTGATCCCAAGCATAGGA